GTCTGTCTCTGATCAGGGAGCCCACGCCTCCTCACCCACCACCACCATTTTACAGAGACGTAAACTGAGGTGCAGAGAGGAAAAGGGTTTGCTAATGAACCAAGCAGCGGCAGGCTGAACTGAGCTTGCTCCTACCGCGTTGTGGGGGACACTGCTATCCTTCCCATGCTACCGTGGGCTCTGAGAAGTGTGTGGCTTGCACAGCCCCCACGCTGGCATGAGGGTGGGAAGGGCCTGGAACAGACAGCTAGCTAAGCCCAACGTCCATGCTGTCCCCACTACATAGCTCAGGCTGCCACAAAAATGGTTACAGTTCAGTGTCTGCCCTAAGGACCTCCTAGCCCAGTGATGGCGAACCTTTTGAGCTCAGCGTGTCAGCATTTTGAAAAACCCTAACTTAACTCTGGTGCTGTGTCACATATAGAAATTTTTTGATATTTGCAACCATAGTAAAGCAAAGACTTATATTTTTGATATTTATTTTATATATTTAAATGCCATTTCACGAAGAAAAATCAACCAAAAAAATGAGTTCGCGTGTCACCTCTGACACGTGTGTCATAGGTTCGCCGTCACTGTCCTAGCCTCTTGGAGGAGGTGGACATGTAAGAAAACAAACCATGTAGACTTTGGGCTGTGCTCCAGTAGTCCCACCTCGGGCAGGTGACTTGTGGGCGGGGCTTTGAAGGATAGATAGGATTGTATGGTCAAGGATGGAATGCAAAGCAGGCACCCTAGCCAGGGGAACAGCGGGACAGAAGAGTAGAGGCAGGACCGTGTGTACGTGGGGAAACAGGGAAACGAGGAATTAAAGGAGCCTACTAGTGAGTCCCAGACAGTATTCCAAGAGCTTTAGTCAGGAGGTAGGCGATAGTCTTATCACTACCGTTTTCCAAAGGAGGGAGCGAAGGTACAGAAAGGTTAAGTAACTGACCCGAGGTCACACAGCTAATTAATTGTGGCTTTGGGATCGGAACCCAAGCAGATGTGCTCCATGAAGCCAAACCTCTTAACAGCGGTTAAACTCTTGCTGGAGCTGAAAATAGAGGGGGAAGCAGGAGAAGGAGTGGAGTTTAAGAATAACGTGTGTGTGTGTGTGTGTGTGTGTGTGTGTGTGCTGCTGACTCTTGAACAACATGGGTTTGAACTGTGCAGTTCCACTATACGTGGATTTCCCCCCCCCAGTGAATGACTACTGTTTTCCATCCGCAGTTGGGAATCCACGGATGTGGAGGGCCAACTGGATGCATTGATCTACACCATTTTAAAAATGGGACTTGAGCATCTATGGATTTTGGTATCCCTGGGGGTCCTGGAATCAATCCCCCATGGATACTGAGGGACAACTTAAGTTTTGGGGGAGTTGAAACTTATATGCAGATTTCTGAATGCACATGGGGTGGGGGGTTGGTACCCCTAACCCCCAAGTTGTTCAAAGGCCAACTGCATATGACCTTGCTACAAGCCAGACACAGTTCTCAGTGCTGTGTGTATATTGTTTCATTTAAATCTCCCAACCAGCGTATGAGGGGGGCTCTGCTATCACCCCCATTAAACAGAAGAGGACATGGCGGCACAGGGAGTGTCTAGCTCACAGGCTGTCCCAGCTGGTTGGCGGCAGAGGCGGGATTTGGAGTTAGGCTGTCTGCCCTGTGGCCTGTTGGTCTCCGGCAGTCACAAAACAGCTGGGAACAGGGAAGTGTACGGGCAGGTGGAGGCTGAGGACTCATCCAGGAAGACTCCGCTGTCCTGCGGGTGCCCTGGGGGCGGGCGGCGGGGGAGGGGGCTGCTACCCTGGGGTTTGGAAAGTCAGCTAAAGATGAAAGGGCCATTTGACACAGGAAGTGAAACCAGATGTGCCGGAGTGACCTGGAATGCCCACCTGTTGGGCACCTGGGACACAGCCTGAGTTTCCTGGTGGGATGAAGGGTAAGGGGGAGGGGGACAGAGCCTGGAAGCTTGTGGAAGCAGCTGACCAGAGAAAACTTGGGGTGCCCCTCTACTACCTCACCTCTCACCTAAGTCAGGTGCTAGGAGAGTCTCAGACCAGCAAGTGTGGGGGGACCCAGGTGGGCTGTCCGCCCCCTTCTCTGGCTGCCCCGGGTGCAGGTCAGGGGAGGTGGCTCCAGCCTTCCGTGAACCCCTGGGGCTGTCAGGTTGGCTGGGAGGCCCATAACGGACACCCCCCTCCCTGGGCAGCCTCAAGCCTGCCGCTCACTCAGGGGCCGGGCCTCTCAGGAAGGAGCCCCCGGGGTCTCCAGACTGCACGGGGCTGCCGCAGCGGTGGGGGACCTGGATCCCAGCCTGAGCTCCGCCAGCTCACCAGCACAAGCCAGGCCTCCCTGGGCCTCAGGTTCCTCTCCCAAGTGGGAGGGAGAACGCCTAGCCTGGGGTCTGGGAGGCCTGGGTCTGGGCTCTGCCTCTGTGGGCTGGGTACAGGTCTGGGAAGGCCCTGCCCTTCCTGGGGCCTCATTGTCCCCACTTACACAGTGAGACGGGGACATGTTGGGTGAGCAGCTGAGCCGAAACGGAAACCCAGGTCTCTGCCCCCCAGACATTCCCATGGGGAACCCCAACTCCCGAAAGAAAAGTCCTGGCCCCGCTCCCCCAACCGCCCCCAGCAGCACCCTTGGCACAGGCCTTGCTGTGAACTCTCTGTTCCCTCCTGTCCTCTCTCCCACCCTCTCCCCCATGCCCCCACCCCCAGACAAAGCAAAATGTTTTCAATTAGGGGTCTGCTGCAGTGAGGCAAGTGGGTGGAGATGTCCAGACGGGTAACTCCCCCGCCTCCCGCCCTAATCCTTGATTACCTCCCCAAGGGGGACTTAGTTAGATACGGTCATTACCGCTAATTACCAGATGACCAAGTCTCCCTCCTTGGGAGTGGAATCCACTGCCTCCCACCTCCTGATCTCCCAGCCTGCACACTCCCGTGGGCGGTCCTCCCCTCCACACCTCCCGGACCTCTCTGTCCCAGCCACTCTCCCCAGCAGCTCCCAGCCTCCATCCTGTGCCTTCCCGGGGCCTCTGGACCACTTCTTAGGTGTCCACCACCCGCCTGGGCAGTCTGCGTCTTGCATGGGGTCATTCTCACTGCGGTGTCCCTCATAGCACCTTCTCTCAGCATCAGCTGGGGAGGAGGATGCTTGATGAGTGGCCCAGGGTCCTCAGGCACCAGGGTTCCCTGGAAATACAGAGCACATGTCCCAGGGAGCCACAGCGCTCACCATTCAGGGATTGCCTGAACTGAGCTCCCCGGTAAAGGCTGGGCTTAGGTTACCCCACTTGTTGGCCTGAGCAGGAGTGCAGGGAGAAGACCCGGAGGGAGGCAGCCTCGTGGCTTGAGTGCCCACTGCAGGCTTGGTACTGTACCGGGTTTTTAGGTCTATCCCATGTGATCCTACCCATTAGGAAACAGCTGACTCCGAGGGGAAGAGAAAGCTGGGCGAGGGGAAGTGCCGAGCGGCTCAGGACAGCTGAGCGTGGACGGCTCCCAGCCCAGCAGAAAGGGGACCCGGAAGGGGAGGCCAGGCCTGCAGGAGGATGGTGTCAGGGGGAGGCCGAGCACACAGGCACTGGGTGTCGTCAGTGTCCTCCTCTGTACAAAGCGGGGAGCGGCAATAATCTCGTCCCCGCCCACCCCTCTGGGTGTTGTGGGAACAAGATGAGGCATATCCGCAGAAGCTCTGTGACTGGGGCCGTGTGTGTGTGGACAGTGTCTGCGAGGCGGAGGTGGGGGGGGTCACGCTGAGGCATGGCCTCTGCCTCTGTGTGGTCACACCTCACCCAGTACAGGCTGCAGGGATGTAGACCACAGGTTCCCCAGCTTTGGCGGACCTCAGTGGCTCAGAAGGCCAGGTAGGAGCAGACAGTTCAGGGGAGACCCAGAAACCGTGCCTGAGGTCTGGTCTGTGTGCTGGCGCTGGCATCCAGGTGCACCACACACCTCCTTGCTCATGGTTTGGAGGTGGGGATTCTGTGCTGAGTTACTGGGGCAGGAGCTAGTCTACGTGAATCCCTTCAAGGCTGTGGGGTCCCTCCAGCCTGCGCTTAGAGGAGGTGCTGCCCAGGGGAGTCCGCTCCTCAGAGAAGGCCCGGGAGCAAGGCGGATCCAGGATGGAACCTTGGTCCTGGGGCCTTGGAATCCCAGTGCCCAGGGACAGGATCTGGGAAGCTCTTAGGTCCTATCTCATCGGCAGGGTTCGTAGAGACCCCCTACGCCAGTGTTTCCCAAAGCACGGATGAGGTCAGCACTCCTTACAGGGCTCGTGCTCAGTAGACCAGGAGTTAAACATACCAAGCCTGCTGCTTCACTGCAGCCTTTCGCAGGGACATCGTATGTCAGGTTTCCTAACTATGCCTGAACACGGGTCCCTTTTTTCAGTGTCTCTCTGGACTGGAACCCATTCTGGGAAATATATGTGTTGGTGTAGACACTGAGACCCAGAGAGACAGGGATTTTTCTCAGCTCACACAGCAAGTTAACAGCTAAGTCCATTTGATCACAACATGAGTGGCTCTTTGCTCCTCGAATAGCAAGCAATCCCTTGTATGTGTGTGGGACTTTACAGCCTAGTAAATGAGTTTAATGATTAGATGAAGCAATGATGGAAAGCTCCTAGCTCATGTTGTGCACTTAGTAAATGCTTCATTCCTACTGTGTGTTATGATGATGCTGATGATAAAAATTAGCACTTAGCACGGTGTCTGGCACACTGTGAGCGCTCCATGTTGAATGAATGTTAAATAAGGAGGAATTAATTCATAGCTGTGAGAGAACTAAATAAAGGCAATGGATGTGAGTACCTTTCAAACTGTAAAATGGTTTATTGCTAGTGGACTTATAGTAAAGCTTAGGTAGGATGGAGGTCGTGATCCTATGTTATAAATGAGAGCCTGAAGCCCAGAAAAGGGTCAGTGATGTGCCCAAGAAAACAGAGGGAGGAAGGGGGAGGGGCCATATTTCTGCTGGGGGCTGGGCTTTGCCTCTGGGTTTCCTGGCTCTTTCTGGCAAAGGCTCCAGGGCCTACGGAGGAGAGGGTGGGGCCAGTAGGACAAACGGGTGGAAGCTATGTGGCACCTCACGCCCTGTCTTTCCTTTCACCGTTGTGACCTCTTGGCGGTGCACAGGGCGCTGTCCAAGACGCCCGCAGCCCTGGCTCTGAACCAGACGCAGCACTGCAAGCAGCTGGAGGGCCTGGTGTCCGCGCAGGTGCAGCTGTGCCGCAGCAACCTGGAGCTCATGCACACCGTCGTGCACGCCGCCCGCGAGGTCATGAAGGCCTGCCGCAGGGCCTTCGCGGACATGCGCTGGAACTGCTCTTCCATCGAGCTGGCCCCCAACTACCTGCTTGACCTGGAGAGAGGTAGGGAGCCAGCGGGGGCTGCCAGGGCCTGCGGAACGCATGCAGGTGGGGTTGGGTGAATTCAGGCATAAGTATTTGTGTTTAGATAGGTGGGTGAATTCATGGGTGGATGGATGGATGGCTATGTGATGGGTGGGTGAGTGAGCAGATGGATGATAGACGGATACACAGAAGGTTAGAGGTGTGGATGGATGTATGGATGGGTGGATGAATTAATCATAGATGTGGGTATTGAGGCACGAACTGATGAATGAATAAACACAGAGTGAGTGAATAGACCAGCGCAGAGGAGCCCGAATGACAGCACAAATGCACATTGTACCCCAGCGCACAGATGAAGGGAAGGATGATGCCAGGAAGGCTCTTGGAGGGTAAGGGGAGTACGGAGCGAGAATGTGATGGAGCTCCCCCTCGGGGCAGACTGCTGTTCACAGGCAACACTAGCCCAGGCCGACGGAAGTTGCTGCGAGATGCACAAAGTGCTGTGTGGGCTAAAGAACATCTGTGGAGAGGACTTCCTGGAGGAGGTGGCTTCTCGGTGGATCTGGGGAGTGTGTGCACAACAGAGAGACTTTCTCTGGGCAGAAATGCCCTAATGGATCTAATCTGTGCTCTGCATGGTAACAGCCAATGTTTGTGCGGCACTTGACAAGGCTTTCTTTCTTCCCAAAGTAGTTGAACTCTAGAGGCAGCCTGAGGTAGGTATTCTCAGCCTCATTCCACAGCTAAGGAAACGGAGGCTTGAGAAGAAGAGGTGATTTTCTAGTAAAGAGATGGGGCCAGGGCTTGGGCCCAAGGCCAAGCCACCCTGCCGCGGAAGCACACCGGGCTCCATTTGCTAGGGCTGCAGTCACAAAGTACCACAAACGAGGGCGAGGGGTTGCTCAAACAGCAGACATGTGTTGTCTCACGGCTCTGGAGGCTGGGAGTCTGAGATCAAGGCGTAGGCAGGGCTGTGCTCTCTCTGAAGGAGCCGGGGAAGGGACTTCCTGCTTCTTCGCTTCAGGTGGTGGCTGGGCGCCCTCATGCTTCCTTGGCTTATAGCTGCATCTCTCTAATCTCCGCCTGTCACATGGCCTTTTCCCTCTATGTGTCTCTGATTCCAAAACTCCCTCTTCCTCTAAGGACACCAGTCATGGCATTAGGGTCCACCTTGATCTAGTATGACCTCGTCTTAGCTCAGTTACACCTGCAGAGATCCTATTGCTAAATAAGGTCAAGTTCACAGGTACAAAGGGTTAGTACTTGAGCAGATCTTTTGGGGGAAACATTTCAACCCACAGTGGGCTCTTTGAACGCTCATGTTGCCCATCAGATCATGAGCTCTTTGCAGAGCTCAGGGACAGGGCCTTCATCTCCCTAAAGCAGCCCTAACGCTGCGTGGAGGGCAGGCAGGGGCGGGGACAGGTGCATGAGTGTGTGGGAGTGAGGGTGTGCCTATGTCTATGGTGGGCTCCGCTGTCCTGTGTGAGTGTGTGTGTGAGTGTGAGTGTGCATGTCAGCTAGTGTGTGTATGGGAGCATGTAGGGGTGACAGATTAGTGGCCCAAGCTCTGTCCTCCATCTGCTCCACCCTGCTTGCAGCCCCTGACCGCACCTGACCTCACAAGAGCAGATGGGGGCCCCGGAAGAGGCCTTCAGGCCTGGGCTGGGTGCTATCCCTCGGTCACCCCACCTGGCTGACATGCACCTTCCCACAGGGACCCGGGAGTCCGCCTTCGTGTATGCGCTGTCAGCAGCCACCATCAGCCACGCCATCGCCCGGGCCTGCACCTCCGGCGACCTGCCTGGCTGCTCCTGCGGCCCTGTCCCAGGTGAGCCACCCGGGCCCGGGAACCGCTGGGGAGGATGTGCGGACAACCTCAGCTACGGGCTCCTCATGGGGGCCAAGTTTTCCGATGCTCCTATGAAGGTGAAAAAAACAGGATCCCAAGCCAATAAACTGATGCGTCTACACAACAGTGAAGTGGGGAGACAGGTAACCACCCACCCCACCCACCCCAGATGGTTGTGCTTGTGCCAGTCGGCCAGAAAAGGCCACCCAGTATGCCCCGATGGAAGGGTGGCGGGGGGATGGGTCCTGATAACACCCACACTGATGGGCTCCCGTCCTCCCCCAGCTCTTCCCTCTCCAGCTGTGCGGGGCTTGCCTGGCTCCTTCTCCAGGGGGTCCACTGGGATTTGGGTTGGAGAATGTTGGCGGAGAAGAAGAGGCACTGAGCTAGGAGTCAGGAGCTCTGAGTTCACACCTTGGCTCTGGCAATCAGCTCTGTATGCAAGTCACTTCCTGTCTGGCCTCAGTTGTTCCCATCTATACAATGGGGGGGTTGGTGCTCCTGAGTCCCTATGGGCCGTCTTCTCAGGCTCTGCCTCTGGGGCTCTGGGCCCACAGTGGGTGTGGGAGGAGGCCTGGAGAGGGCTGTGGGGCAATGAGCTTTAGCTTAAGGAATTGCCTCCTGGGATCTAATGGGAACTCCCTCCTGGATCCAAAACCCACCCTAACCTCCAAAACAGTGTTCCCCAACATCTGTTATCAGTTTTTCCTTAATTCCTCACCTCATTCCACAAACGATTGGGGGAATAAGTGAATGGGCCTTTTTATCTGTTAACAATTAAAAAAAACACACCTTTATGCCAACCTGTGTGCCAGACACCGTGTTGGGTGCCTGGTGGGTGCTCTCCTTGCGGTCCACAGTCCACCTGTGAGGAGGTGCTGCTGTCTCTTCCTGCAGCCGGAGAACAGGCCCCGGAGGGGCAGGGTGCGGCTGCAGATGGCATCTCATGACCTCCTCCCTGCAGCCCCGTGAGGCCCATTTTCAGAGGCACCAAGTGAGGCACAAAGAGCTGAGAGGGCTCAACCCAGGGCACAGGGCACAACGGAGCCCAGGTCTGTGGGTCTCCAAGACCCGAGGCTTCCCTGTCTCACCGGTCTTCCTTGTGTGAGCATTCTAGGGTGTTCACGCCACCTTTGGACATTTGGGGAAACTGAAGGCACGTCACACTGTGAGTCTGTAGCAGAGCCTGGCCAGGGACCCAGGACTCCGGCCTCCCAACCTTGGGGGGCCTGCCCCCCACCATCCTTGGAAATTCAGCGGGAGCCCCTCACCCAGCCCCCAGTCTAAAAACCCAGCCCCATTCTCACCCACGGCCAGGCCCAAACCCCATGCAGCTAAGGGCACAGCCATGCAGTCCAAACAGGGTCCTCAGTCAGGGGCACGTCGGACTTCACCCTGGCTCGATGCTAAGAGCTGTCCCCTCTGGGGCCATCGGCAAACAGGAGTGGTCCCGGCCTTACGCCCAGGGCCTGTGAGGGGCAATGGCATCTCAGGTGCAGTGTGTTCAGAGCCAGCACACAGCTGAGCTGGGGACATAGCTTACCTTTCCCTGAGGATTCAAAAGTACCTCCCGCCTCTGGAGGCTGAACGTGTCCTGCAGGGGCTCATTCACTTCGTCCATGAGCTCTCCACAGGCTTCCCTGAGCCAAGTCCAGATTGTATGCCCAATGGACTCCCTCCATCCCCACTTCTGGGCACGGGTGAGGCAGAAGGAGCCCTGGGACCTGGCCAGTGCCCTCACTCACTCACCCAGTGATTCTGGGCAAGTCCCTGCCCACTCCATGCTTCAGTTTCCCCATCTTGGTGATGCAGGGGGTAGGCGTAGGGGACCTCTAAGCTTTGTAGCTGTCTGCACAGGGCAGGCAGGAGTGCCGGCCTGGCACCCGGATCCGAGCCCTGTGTGCAAAGCAGCGGGGGTTAAAAGGCAGAATTGAAAGGGTCTAATTCATGCCCCTCAGGTTCACCTGGGGAAACTGAGGCCCAGGGAAGATGGTGGAGCAGAGCTACTTTCAAGGCCAGGGCCAGGGCCTCCCCAAGTCCCAAAGCCCAAGCCTCCCCCCTCCACCAGATTATTACTTAGATTGATTTTTCAAAATCATTGGTGCCTTAAATTTTATAGTTCACAACACCGTTCATGTATGTCATTTCATTGCATTCTTATGACGAAGCAAGGTGACCATTCCGTGTTGACTCTGTACATAGGAAGACAGAGGCGCTGAGTGGTGACGAGGCTTCCTGAGGGTCACCTGGCAGGAGCACCAGCAGTGGAGGGGAAAGATCAGCCAGGCCAGGGAACCCCCATGCACTCACCTCCTGCTTCCCCTCCTTCGCTCCCTCCTTCCCTTCTTTTTCTTTCCCCATTTTTCCTCCCAGCTCTTAGTAAAACCAGTTTTGTGTGAGAGAAGAAGTGTGGACAGATAAAAGCCGTGGCTTTTGGAATCGCCCTCAGACCTGGGTTCAAATCCCAGCGTCAAGGTTTCCTGGCCGTGCAGCCTTGTGCCTGAGGCTTAGCCAGTCTGGCCTTCATTTCCTCCTTTTCTGTGGGGGGAATAAGGAGACCTCCGAGCAGGCTGTGGTGCTGATTAAGCCCTAGCATGTGTTAGATAGAGCGTTTGTGTACAGTAGGTTGTATAAGTGGCATCCACTATCCTGAAATGCCACTGTCTTCCTGCCCCTCCCAGCTGCCCCCAAGTTTGGAGGAGGAACTGAGGACCTACAACACCCCCAGCTTTAGATAAAAAAGCCCTATCACTTGGGGTCCAGAGCAGGCAGGCGATGACTCCCTGAGAGCACCCACCATGGGGTGGGGGGCTGGAGGAATGGGGCGCAGGGTCCCAGGGCAGGCCAGGGAGGGGCCCTGACCACCCAGCCCAACGCCCTCCCCTGTCCGCAGGCTCTGCGTGCGTCTCTGGAAGTGAAGTGTAAATGCCATGGGGTGTCCGGCTCCTGCTCCATCCGCACCTGCTGGAAGGGGCTGCAGGAGCTTCGGGACGTGGCCGCTGACCTGAAGACCCGCTACCTGTCGGCCACCAAGGTAGTGCACCGGCCCATGGGCACCCGCAAGCACTTGGTGCCCAAGGACTTGGACATTCGGCCCGTGAAGGACTCAGAGCTCGTCTATCTGCAGAGCTCACCTGATTTCTGCATGAAGAACGAGAAGGTGGGCTCCCACGGGACACAAGACAGGTAAGGGCCCGCCGCTACCCCGCTACCCCAGCAGGAAAGGGTCAGCTTTGTTACACATGCCCCATCCCAGCTCAGGGCCAGGCACACAGGCCGGCCAGCTGGCATTGAGGGAATGGAGTCTCTGCCCAGTCGGGGGAGGTGGCCCAGGAATGCTGAGTGGAGGTGCCACCTGGCAGAGCTTCTGGGAATGGCTGTTGTGCTCCTCGCCAAGGCAGGGGTCCCTCAGGGATGGAGGTTAGTGAGAGGTCCCCACCCCACCTTCCTTCTGGCTGGGGAGACAGATGGGAAGAGACACTGAGAGGCACTAGCCTCAGTCAGTGTTTTCCAGATGAATAAGGGAAAGTTAAATGTCATACAACTGGCTCACTGGACAAATGAGGGCCTGCGGCACAAGGGGGGGTGGGAGCAGTGGCCAGCCCACAGCGACCTGGGAAGTCTGCGCAGAGTGGAGGCAGAACTGGGGCAGCCACCCTCCTGAGGGACAGCAGGAGGGTGAGGTCTGCCTGCATCCTGTGGAGAGAGAGTGGTCCCATGTCCCCCCACATGCATGCACCCACCCCCTGTGCCCCAGCTCTCTCCCCCTGAACCCCAGTGTCAGAGCTGGGGCTGAGGTCCCTACAGCTGGCCCCATCCTGGCTGCTAAAGCCGGCTCAGGACAGGAGAGAGGGAGGGAGCCGACCAGGACTGCAGACCTACTGTGTGCCCGGCAGAGCTGGTGGGGAGCAGCATTTCCCGGATAGCTCTGGAGGCAGCCAGCCCTGAGAAGCTGTAATAGAGACAGTGCCACACTCCTATTCATTTGGGAAACTTTCTGGCAGTTCACAAGGCACGGGAACACGTTAAAGGCTCCGAGGAATCCCACAGTAAAGGACTTGTCTAAGCTGTGCTTCCCAGAGGTGTTTGGCTGTGGAACTCTTTTATTAAGGAGCCCCTAATAGCATTCCACAAAATGAGTGTTCTGCAGGGTTAAAAGAATATTGAACCAGAGTGAGGGTGTCTGAGAATGTGTTTGGCACATAGTTGGTGCCCAGCCAGCATTTGCTTCCTCCGCAGCCCACGTTCCTGTCTCCAGGAGAGGGGGGCTTGTCTTGGGGGGCTCTGTCTTCACAGGCCAGGGCAGCAGGCTCTGTGAGGAGGCCCAGGCTCCCATCTGGAGGCCAGATTGAGGGGGTCGGGCAGAGGGAAGATGGAACTGGGTCAGGCCAGGGAGACAGGAAGGAGTGAGGCAGTCCGGGTGGGTCTGCTCATGGGGTGGGGAAAGGAGGATTCTAGAACCCAGAGGGGCTGGGGGAAGCCCATCAAAGACCCCAGAGCAAAGACAGGGTCTCCCTGCATCCATGGGGGGCGGGGAGGGCGGGGGGAGACTAGTGTGTTGGGAAAGGATAGTTTGCACCCTGACTCTGCAGCTTCCTGGCTGTTGGACCTTGAGCAAAGCCCTTCACTTATCTGAGGCTCAGTCTTGTCTTCTGTGCAGTGGGGTCACTACCACAGACCTGGGAGGGTTGCTGAGCGCTCTCTGTCATACTGACGGAGCAGCTCCTCTGTGCTGGGTAGTGTCAGTCCCATGGAAGGCTCATGAACGGTAGTCTCCACTCTCCTCTTCCCAGTCCCCAGGCTTCCAGGCCTCTTCTTTCCCAGCCTCCTGTACTCTACCCCTAGCATTTCCCCCGAACTACTAATAAGGAGGCCCATCGCACAGCACCAGCTGCCTTCCCTGCTTTCTCAGAATGCCACCCCCAACCCAGGTTTCCTGCCATGCTCAACGCTCAGCATTCTTTTGGGGATGGGCCTTTGCAGACATCTGTACTGGGCAGTGTTTTCTGCAGTAACAAACAGCCCCAATATCTCAGTAGCTTACAACACAGACACTCCTCACACTCGTTCCATGAGTCTGGGGAGGTGGAGAGACATCAAATTGTGACAGAGGGAAGCCCAGGGATGAGGGGAGCCCAGAGGGGCCCTAACCCAGTTTGGGCATCAAGGAAGACTTCCTGGAGGAGGGAAAATGTAGGCTTTACTCGGTTAGGGGATTTGGGGTGCAGGGGGTGGATGTAAATGAGCCTTTTTAACTGTAAAAGGCATGTGCGCAGGTGGTACCTCTCCAGAGGCTGGCCCCCTCGCTGGGGAAGACGCCCTCCGAACTGAGGCCTCTTCTGCAGTCAGTATACCCAACCCCAGCCCCCGGGTCATATTTCTTCCAGAGGCCCCTGCACCCCTGAAGCCTGGCCCCTCGCAGCCTGTGTCATGTGTCCCTGGGAGCCAGGTGTCCCAGTAGTCTTCCCTGGACCAGACCCTTTTCCCAGGCCCTTCCCTCCTGAATTCCCCCTCCAGGCACCATCGCTCACTCTGTCTGGCTTGGAGGTAGGAGGGTATGTTTTCAGGGACCCAGAATAAAATGAACTCTGCCCCCTTCCTACACCCTAAGGCTGCGGGGACCAATGGTGTTGAGTGACTAAACAAAGCCCGGAAAGTTTCAGTGACTTGCCTGAAGTCACACAGCCAGTATGGGCGGAGCTGGGTTTGAACCCAGGGTATCTGATTCTGGGGCACCTGTTCTTCCTGCTGTTCCCTTCCTGCCTCTGCCCTTCCTTCACTGAGCCTGCTTCCATCTGTAAAATGGGCATCGTAATTCCCCCAACCCAAGGACCCTGCATGCCTCCAACTGGATAAAATCCCGGAGAAAGGCGCCTGGCACAGAAGGGGGCCAATGAGTGGCAGACCTTCTCTCTCCGTGAACAGTGTGCCAGCCGCTCATTTTGTGCACATCCAGTGCCATTTCGTCTGTTTCAGAATTTTTCCTGGGAATCTAAAAGTAAAAGCCATCTTTACATTCGTTACATTATAACTCAAGATTAAGTATGAAGATAAGATTATTCGAGTGATTTGAGGCTCCTTTGAGTATTCACAAGTGGAAGAAACAGGAAAAAAGACACCTCCGTGAAATAGAACACCCCCATCATTTTGATAAATTAGAAATACAGGGAAAAGTGAGAAGTACCCTTGGGGAAGAGGGTTATTGAATATTCATTCCCAAAGATCAAGACACCTAGGGACCGAGCCTGTGGCCGAGGTGGGGGAGGCTGCAGGCTGCCTGGCTGGGCTGGGGCTGAGGTGACAGAAGTGCTCTCCTCCCCTCCAGGCAATGCAACAAGACATCCCACGGCAGTGACAGCTGCGACCTCATGTGCTGTGGACGCGGCTACAACCCCTACACAGACCGCGTGGTCGAGCGGTGCCACTGCAAGTACCACTGGTGCTGCTACGTCACCTGCCGCAGGTGTGAGCGCACGGTGGAGCGCTACGTCTGCAAGTGAGGCCTGCCCTGCCCCCGTGGGAGCTCCTGGGAACCCTCAGAGGCCCACCGAGGGGCCTGGAGACACCACGTGGATCTGTGCTTGTGACTTCCAAATGCCAGGCATTGGAGGCGGTTTGTGCTTCCACTTGGAAGCCACCAGGAACAGAAGGAGGGCCGGGACATCAAAGGGAACTGACAAGATTAAAAATAACCTGGCAGCCCGAGGCCCTGGAGTGCCCACTTGCTGCCTTCCAGGCTGGTCTAAGGAGCCAGGGGCATGGGATTGGCAAAACTGGTATGGACTTGACCTTTTGCAGCCAGATCACCAACCGCCCAGGAGGGAAGGAAGCGGGTGCCGTCTGCCCTCACAGCGAGTTCTGCGGGCCCATATAAATATATATATATAATGATCTATATTTTAAACAAGCTTTTTGAACAGCTGTATGAAATAAATGCTGAGAGAACCCCAGCCCTCCCCTGCCGTCTCTGGCCTCCTCAAGAGAGCTCAGAAAATCCTGGCGCTGGCCCCGGCTCTCTGGTTTCCAGGCAAG